CAAGAATGTGAATTCGAGAATTTAACAGAATCTCTCATAAGGGATCGTCTTATAATTGGAATACTTGACCGAGAAGTGAAAAGAAAGTTGTTAGAAGATCCACAGTTGACACTACCAAGGGCAATTTCGATAGCTATGATCTCCGAGTCAACATGCTCACAAGTAGCATCGTTGAATGAGCAAAAAATGATTGAAAAAATTGAAAAACGTAATTGGGTGAAAGATAGAATTCGAATGGAAAATGCAGAAGCAGGACCAAGGGTATAAACCCGAGAAGAGAAAGAATAATAGAACCATGTAAGTGGTGTGGACAACGACACAATTATGGAAAGTGTCCAGCATATGGGAAGAAGTGTAATGCATGCGGGAAAACCAATCATTTCGCAGTAGTTTGCCGAACAAAACGTATAAGAAATCTCTTAGCGGAAAGTGAAGCTGAAGAATCCTGTGACGAGATAAATCTAAATGAAGTTGTTGTAAAGACTGTTGGGTCGGACAAGTGGTCCGCGGTAATAATCATTAATGGCAAGAAGACCACGGTACATTTGGACACTGGCGCACAGATAAATGTGCTTCCTCATAAAGTAATAAACCAATGGCCATCAAGACCAGAAATCAGACCCACGTCATTAAAGGCGTTCGCATATGGAAATACAGAATTGCCTATCGTCGGCAAATGCAATGTGCTATGCCAATATGGTGAAAAGAAAGGAATGTTTGAATTTATCGTAGCCGATGTAGAGGCGCAGACACTTATCACGGGCGATACTTGCGAGAAGCTTGAAATATTGAGGCGAATTAATCATATAAACACGGATGAAATGAAATTGTGTTCTGAAACTCAAAAAAATCCTCGAACAATACCACGAAGTGTTTCAAGGAGTAGGATTAATCAACTCGGAATGTAAGATTTACACAAAGCCTGAATATTCGCCTGTGCAAGCCCCTCCCAGGCGCATCCCAACAAGCCTCGGAGCCGAAGTTCAGTCTGAATTGGAAAAAAATGGTGAAGCAAGGAATCGTTACAAAAATATATCATGAAACAGAGTGGTCTCATCCTATGGTCGTTGTGAAAAAAAAATCTGGTCAAATCAGAATATGCCTGATCCTCGTAAATTAAATGAGGCCCTTGTGGGAAGACATTTCCAGACTCCGGCTCCAGCTGAAATATTGCACGAGATACCCAAATCTAAGTATTATACCGTGTTAGACGTGAAATCAGCCTATTGGCATATTCCGGTTGCAAAGGAATGCAGAGATCTGCTGGTGATGACCACGCCATTTGGTAAATTCAGATATAATCGATTGCCATTTGGTTTGAAAATATCGGCACAAATTTTTGTTGAGAAAATGACGAATATCTTTAGGGATAGCTTTCAAAATATTACATATGTAGACGATTTGCTGATATATGCGGATACCATTCAAGAGCACAATAAAAAATTGAAGGGAATTCTAGAAAAAGCAAAAGAAAAAAATATCAAATTTGATTTAACAAAGGCTCAAATATGTCTAACGAAGGTTCGTTTCGTGGGCCATTTGATTTCACAAAATGGAATTGATCCAGAGCCAAATTAGATTGATAAATTAATTACCTTTAAAAGGCCAGAGGATAAAAAGTCACTTCAAAGAATCATGGGTCTTTATAATTACTTAGGAAAATTCATTCCAAATTTAGCTGCGTCCACATCCAATATAAGAGGAATATTAAGAAAGAATGTTGTCTGGCATTGGGGGCCTGAACAGGAAGGGGAATTCGATCATATTAAGGAATGCGTTAGGAATGCTCCTCATTGGCACATTTTGACAAAAGCAAGATGTTGATCTTGCAATGTGATGCCATCAAAGATGCAATGGGAGCTGCTCTGCTACAGGAAGATCGACCTCTAGCATTCGCATCCGCGTCATTTAGCGACTCGCAGAAACAGTACTCTCAGATTGAGAAGGAGTTACTGAGTGTTTATTATGGATGCAAAAAGTTTGAATATCTATTATCAGGACACACTTTCGTTGTCCAGACGGATCACCAGCCTTTATTGCCTCTGGTCAAAAAACCGCTGAGTGATATATCTCCGCGTCTACAAAGATTAGTAATGAAGCTTATAGCATTTGACTTCAAATTGCAGTACAAACCAGGAAAATACTTGATTGTGGCTGATACCCTATCCAGGGATACTCACCCCATGGACGAACTACCAACGCCTTTTCTTGAGGACAAAAGAATAGTCAAGATGGTATGTGTTAATATATCGGACGAAAAACTGGTAACGCTGCAGAAAGATACCCGAGAGGATCCCTGCTTTAGTTAAAGTAATCGATTATGTGATTGAGGGGTGGCCAATATGCAAAAAAGACGTCTATGAAGATGCCAAAGCATTTTTCGATTTCAGACACCGTTTATATTTATGGAATGATCTATTATGTATAGGATCGGCCATAGTGATTCCGATGACACAAAGGAATAATATGCTTAATTTGTTGCATCAATCGCACCAAGGGATATATGCAATTCAGGGTTTAGCGCGAGAATCTTTGTTTTGGCCGAGAATGTCCATCGACATTGCTGAAAAGGTTAAAAAATTGTGAAAATTTGTCAAAAATATCAGAAATCAAAAATACGGCAGCCGTTTAAAACCTTTACCAGTTCCAGATTATCCATGGCAGACTGTATCATTGGACATATTTTATATTCAGAAAAAGCCCCATTTGTTAGTGGTCGACAGATATAGTGGCTACCCGGAGGTATTTGCATTGGACCCACCTACGGCGATTGATGTAAAAAATAAATTGAGAGAAACATTTGCACAATTCGGGATTCCGGAAACCATGATGTCCGACAATGGACCACCGTTTCGCTCAGAAATTATGACTGACTTCTGTATAAAATGGGGTATAAAACAGCTATTTTCAAGTCCACATCTTCATAGATCTAATGGTCTGGCCGAAAGAAACATTCAAACAATAAAAAATCAATTAATTAAATGTAGAGATGAAGGGTCCGACCCATATCTGGCTATTCTGGCATATAGGAATACACCAAAAAATGACCTACCTTCACCCGCACAGCTATGTTTATCGAGGAGCCTTCGATGTCAAATCCCCAGAATTACACCGCTATATAGACCGTATCAAACTAATTGGAGAAGTATAGAGAATGCCAAAAGAAAAAGACAGAGCTCAACGAAAGAGCATTATGACAGAAACAGTAAAAGCTATCCCAAGGTCAATGTAGGAGAGGATGCATGGTGTCAAAGCATCCAAGGGAGATATGGACACCGGTGAAGATTTCAGCGCAGGCTAATTCTCCTCAGAGCTTTGAAGTTGTAACACCATCAGGAAATAAGTTAATAAGAAATCAACAATTTATTAGGCCGAAAGATGGAGCCAACGAAAAAAAGGCAGTTATCTTCAGAACCAATTACCGGCTCCCCAGAAGCTCAACATCTGCATTACGACAGTCCAACGATGGGAGAGTCATCCACAACCCCGATACAGCGGCCAAGTGAAGAGACCAATATTAACCAGAAGGAAAACGCGACTACATCCGCTGGGATTTCACCAGAACCATCCGGAAAGCCCCGGTTTTCAAGGTTTGGAAGAGAATTAAGAAAACCACAAAGATTTTGTTTTTAAGCATAGGGGAGGCATGTAAACGGCCTTTTGATTTTCCTAATCTGATTGTTGATGGTTGTCTAAATTCGTGACATTCTTTAATTGTTGTATTGTTGTAGCAGAGGGGAAACATGTTGTGATATGTTAAATAACATATGTTACGTATTATATTTATTATCTATTGTTGACTATGCAAAATCATGCCATTTGTCAATTGTTAAAAAAAAAAAAAAAAATTATGTAAATTATTTCCTTTTTATCTCTATCTTGAATAAAAGGAGATTACTAGATTGAATAAACATTCAGTTCAACTTGTAAGTCGGAGCGAGTCTTGTTCAGATAACACATAAACTTTACAACAGTCATTTTAGGAATTTCATGAGAGTTCATAATAAACATAGTTGGTACATTCTTATATCAAAAAAGCATCTTTCCTTTTGTCATAAGTATTCAAACATTGTAAAGTATTTAATTAATATTTTTCTAAGTCCACCATTCTTCCTCTACGTCGGACTACCATTTAGGCTGCCACAACAAAGACTTTCTCACTTTAACAACCGAGCTACTAGCGAACCGAGCGTTTTAAGCAGCCTGGGAGATTTAAAGACAAGTACAAGCAAGAAAGCAAAAGCGGGCTAACGTCCAGTGCGATCAAGCGAGTTCTTACCGACAGTGCGATCAAAATGGACTAAAGATTAGTTCGATTAAGAGCGATCCAGTGAGATAAAGAAGGATCTAACGACTAGTGCAAACAAAAGCGATCTAACGAAGAGTTCGGTCCAGAGCGATCAAACTACCAGAGCGTTTAAGAGCGATCTAAAGACCATTACGATCAAGGACCAATACGATTAAGAACGCCTTAACTAGTGCAATAAAGAGCTTACTAAAGACCAATGTGATCAGAACGATATGAAGACCAGTGCAATCAAGAACATTCTAACGACCAGAGCAAACAAGAACGATCTAACAAGCATTACGATCAAACGACCAGATCGATCAAGAAATGAGTGCGATCAAGAGATATCACCGACCAGTGCAATCAAAAGACATCGAGGACCAGTTTACAATCAAGAGAGTTATAACTAAGTAACTAAGAGTACAAGAAAAATCAACCTTACTACCAGTGCAATCAAGAGCGATTAAATGACAAACTTTCAAAGGTTATCTGAAAATCTATACGACCAAACACACAAAGCGTTCAACGACCTGTAGGACCAGAGCGATCAACGACCGGGGCAATCAAGAGCGATGAGATTAAGAGGGAAATATAGAAAAAATATATTGAAAAATGTTTTTCTCTTACAGATCCAGGTACGCCTTTTTATATATATATTTATGCATATGCTAAGGTTGCTCTGTATATTTTTTAAAAAGAAATTAAAAAAAGAAGGCAGCGGCAAGATTCGAACTAACGATCCTGTTTACTAGACAGGCGCTTTAACCAACTAAGCCACGGCGCCTCTCTTCTTTCTTAGCCTATTTATAAAATTTTTATATAAAATAGCTATTTGGATTCTTGAACGATTTTTTTTCTGTAAAATTATCAAAATAGGGAAAAATCCCATTTGAAGGTGATTTTTTTTTTATCAAAGGAAAACGATATAACGCTCCTATGGTGTTTAATAAAGAAGTTCTGGGAGGAACCACTGTCTTAGTTTTCAACCCTGGATTGTGCAAATTATCACGTTATAATTGCCTATTCCTTTTGATCCGCCTATATTTCTACCATATATAAAATGAAAGTATTTAAATGCACGAGTGTTTATTTTAGACACAATCAAACTTCTACTGTCCTTACTGCGATGAAAAATATATTGGGAGGACAGTAGAAGTTTGTATTGTGTATAAAATAAACATTCGTGCTTTTAAATACTTTCATTTTATATATATAGATGGCGCGCTATTGCTTTGTGTTAATTTCTACCATAGGTGCATATCCCGTTGGCACTTTGATACGCTATAGTTAGGTCAAAAGAAGTCACTCTCTTAGGTACAACCGCGAAAGATGTAAATTAGGTACAATAAGCGGCATATTTGCATATATCGTTTGTTCTATGGGCGAAGCCTGGTCATTAGTATAGTAGGACTAATATAAAGCTATAACGCGCCATCAATGTACAGCAAATGTAAACATTAAGATGCGAATGTTGCTTCACACATCATATGTAATTATGTAATGATGGAAAAATCCCAACACTAAAAAAACACTAACAGGAAAAGAATTTGCATGCTTGTATTGCTAATGGTATCGACTACATAGGTTATTAAATGTAGCGCCGTTTCACAAATTTGAGATGGATTTTCTCGCGCGTTATCTATCCTGTTTTTTGAAACATTAATAGAAAAATAAAGCTACCTTATACAGTGCTTTGTTTAAATTTCATCCATTTAAAATCATTTTTATTGGTAATGTAATTTTTTTTCATAAGAGTGTATAGAGATTCGAAGGATTCTGTTCGAAAATGATTGTTATCAAGTGGTCTAAGATGAAAATATGCTTATTTTGGATCATATATTCTATCATATTTGGATCATATACTTCTTTAGGGAACAAGATTGTTCTGAGAAGCTCGCGTATCAATTCACGAGTATGTACAACTACGCGAGCATCTCAAAACAATCTTGTTCCCCGAAGAAGTTTGGCGAGTTGACATACGGAATATTGGAAAATTAAACTTTAAGATTCAAAATAAGTGTTTTTCCAATAATTGAATATATGGATTGCTCAATTTTCAAACATATATGCTTGTGTGTGTGGCTATCCAATATGTACAAAAGTAATAGTTGCCAATTTCTCATATGTAAACGGAAATGTTGTTGTCCGTTTTTTCAAAGGAGAATAAGACAATTTTATTCACACTTGGTCATCTCTTGTGTTGTTAAGGTACGCGAGGTCAGATTGAAGAAACCTCCTCTTAACAAGTAAAACTTTGACCTAAAGTTTTGATGTAGTTTGGGCTGCCTCAGGTGATCAAGCAAGAAAGAAAATAACGAAGACAAAACCAGCGGCTACAGACTTAAAGGCTCTCGCTCTACTAAGAAACTCTTTATTTCAACAACACGGCTTAGTTATATACAAAAGGGAAATTTACATAATAATAATCCATTCAAAATATATTTGACATAATAATAATTCATTTAAAAGAAATTTACATTCCAAGTCATACACTCAAAAAGATATTTACATATTCTATGCCACGACTTTTAACATACCCCCACCTTTCTTTTTTGTAAAAAGAAAAAAATCCGTTCCACCGTGATGGGAGGATCCAGGCAGGTGGGACACCGTTGCAGGGAGCCCAGGCTCTCATCCAGGAAAACCATCCTCTCCTCGGCACACTGCGGCACCCTCTCCATACACTCCACCGGAAGTTGCCCCATAAGCGTCCATCCTCCTCTTCCAAAGAAATCGGAGGTATGTCCCAATCATTTTCCCTGATGGCCATCACCTGGAAATATCTCCTCACGTCGGCCAAAACTCCGTACTTATTTTTCCGAAGTTTTATCCCTATTTCCGGGATTCTCCTCAGTAGAATGGGTCCCATCCTCAAATACCGTCTTAAGGCGCGTGCGCCGTGTCCTCGACAGGAAGCGCCGTCACATACTGGCCGTATAGGCGTCGTTTCGGACCCACACCCAAATACAGGGGCGATCAGGAAACCAGTACCCTTTTCCCTCAGGTGGAATTTCTTCAACTCCTTCGATGAACCCATCATTCAACCAATCCTTTGTATCAATAATCCCTTCCTCCATCCTTGATTCAGTACCTTGTTCTGCATCTGGGTTTTCTTTCCACCCTTGAATCAGTACCTTGTTCTGCCTCTATCTTTTCTTCTTCCACCAATTTCCTCGATGCTGGAATTCTGACAACTTCTTCCTTATCCTTTAAATTTGCCTCTTCATATTTTTCATTGGCATTATTTCTACCAAATTGCCCCCACCTTGAGAGCCAATCCCCTGGGTTGCCCTTAAGCTTTTGTAGATCTCCCTTATTCTTTATTTTAGATTCCGTATCTCCAGTTGGTCTTGCTTCAGGATCATTTACTCCGTTGCCCTTAGGCTCATCTTCAGAATCCTTTACTCCCGCCGCCCTTAGGCTCATCTTTAGAATCCTTTACTCCGTCGCCCTTAGGCTTCATCTTTAGAATCCTTTACTCCGTCCGCCCTTAGGCTCATCTTCAGAATCGTTCATTCCTTCGCCCTTAGGCACCCGCTTCAGAATCCTTTTTTCCGTCGCCTTCATCTCCTGCTTTTTGACCTTCAGATTATTTTACTTCATCTCCTTTATCTCCGTCTTTAGAATTCACTTTATCGGGTTTTGCTTCCGTTTCCTTTGCTTTGTCTTTAGCCTCAGCTTCCTTCACACCCTACATAGCCATCAACTGCAGTTTCAGAATCCTTCACTTTATTGCTTTTAATTGCCGCTTCTGTTTCCTTCCTTTCACCCCGCCTTCAACTGCTGCGTTCAATTCCTTTTCTTTAATAGCATTCTCAGCACCTTTTTGACCTCATATTCAATATCTATTATAGAAGGAGCTGAACAAGCTTCCTTTAGTATTCTAGCTTTAGCTAGAGTAGGCTTCACATCCGTAGCTCTAGCAGTTTTTACAGAATCCTCTTTTTCCACGCCTTCAATTTCATTTTTCATGGACTCTTCCGGGCTTTTCGATAGAGACGTAGAAGTATTCTGAAGTTTGATAACTTTCTGATTATCGGTATCTGAATTCGGAGAGGCACTAGACGCCCCTGGTGGAATTTGAGAAGTCTTGGCCTGAGCATCCCTAGCCTGCTCACGCATTACGCGAATTCTGGCCTTTAAATAATATCTTTCCGTGATGTAGACCTCACAATCCTCAAATTCTTTATCAATTTTATCGTCAGTAGCCTCAGCTTTGGCTAATAAAATTGCCTGGCATCGTTCATTCAATACCACCAGCTCCAAATAGAGAGTGTTGTGTCGCCTCCCAGTAGTAGTCACGACACGCAGCCTATATTTACTGGTCAATTTCTGTTTAATTGCACCGTTAATGTTCTATATACACAAATATATATTTACATATTAATAATAAAAAAAAACATGCAAAATACATACAGATATTTAACAATTTACATACACAACACATCTCCCCTCTTAATAGTAGTGCAGCCGGTCTGGCGGTCTTCTGGATCGCTGCGGTCTTGGACTGCGCACAGGGACAGGGACAGCCGCAGGGCCCGGTTCTGGTTCTGGCGGTCTTCTGGATCGCTGCGGTCTTGGACTGCGCACAGGGACAGGGACAGCCGCAGCAGCAGGGACCAGTTCTGGTTCTGGAGTGTCCTCTTGTGCTGAAGGACTCCGCTCCTTTCAATTCTTCGTCCACCTCCGGGGCTTGTCTTCCCTTGTCTTCTCCTGTCCTCCAAGCCCAGGGTGATCTCGAGAAGTGCCAGGCAGTATAAAATCTCTTGATGTACCCGGCAATACCAAATCTCTCACTTCAGGAACTTCTTTCTTGATAACTGGCCTTAGTTGATTTATGTGTCTTTTCACATAACGGCCTTCGTCTTCTATAAGGTAATGTCGGCTGCTCAGTAGTTCCATGATCCTGCCCCTTTTCCATTTTGGTCTGTTAGCAAAACTCCGAAAATACACATCAGAGCCGACCGCAAAATGCTTTTGCTTCCTCATGGCATCATGGTACACCTCTCCTACCTTCGCCATTTTCGGAATCAAATTTGAAAAATCTTGATCTTAGATTTCTTTTCATTAAAAGTTCCGCGGGAGACTCCTTTAATACCGTTTGAGGAAAAGCTCTATGGGCGAATAAAAATCGCTGTAGATTGATTTCTACACTGTCCTTTCCTTGGTTCTTTCGTAAAGAGTTTTTAAATTCACGTACATATCGCTCAGCTAAGCCATTAGTGCTGGGATTGTACGGACTCGTTTTTGTGTGTCTTATACTATTTATTTTTGTAAATTCCTCAAATTCACTTTGAGACAAATTGTCTGCCATTATCGGTTACCAAAAGTTCAGGTAATCCAAATCTGGCAAAGATCTCCCTAAGATGTCCTATGATGGTCCTGCTCGTAATGTCCTTTATGATGACAATCTCCAGCCATTTGGTGTACGCGTCTACAAGGACCATAAACATTCGTCCCATAAAGGGGACCTGCTAGATCTAAGTGTAGACGGCTGCCACGGCTTCTCAGGCCAAGTCCACTCTGAAATGGTAGACGGCGGCATACTTGCAGATTCTTGGCAAATTCTACAATCTCTAGCCAACTCTTCAATGTTCTTATCTATGCCTGGCCACCAAAATTACCGTCTAGCAATCATTTTCATTTTCACCATCCCTAGGTGCATCTCATGTAAATCGTTCAAATTAAGGATCTTAATTTCTGGGGAATTACCACCCTTTCACGCCATTGCAGACACCTAAACTCACAACTTAATTAGTCTTTTATCCTATAATAGGAATAAAG